TCTTAGGAACTTTTTTTCTCCCTGAATGATGGGCTAAAGTTCAAATTTTTTTTCCCGGGATTTTTAATGGGCTTAAATTCCCTTTTTTTTTTTTTTTTTTTCCTTTTTGTCTTTTTTTTGTGACCGGCTATGGATCGCAACCCTCAGTGTCGCACCCGTACCGGACCGGCAACGGGATCGCAACCCTCGGTGTTGCACCCGCACCTCGCTCAGCCAGTGAGCAGCTGGTCTGCATGTGGGATCCGAACCCTCGGCAGGAGCGCCGCTGCACTCCCAAGCGGTGCACCGTAGCAGTGCGCCACCGGGCCGGCCCTACGATTCCCTTTAACTTTGTCTCTTAACCTTGTTTTCTATACTCCTTTCTTACCTGGCATGCCCTAATCTACTTATGATACGTTGGCTCTTTGGGTTGCAAGGACCAGATACTCATTCAGGCCACTTTAAGCAAGAAGAGCATTGTTTGAAGGATGCATGTGAACTGGTAAGCCATCAGGGACCTCCTAAGTAGCTCTGGTGAAGAGCTGTTCTCCATCCCTTTCATAGCATCAACTTGTCTGTCTGTATGTTTTCTGTTCCCTTCTAATTGGTCAGTTTTCTGTATTTTCCAGTTCAAATTCTGGAAGCAGACAGTCTTATCGACTTAGCTAATTACCATTGCTCCTTTTGAGCATATTTTAAAGAACAGGCTGGTGTTGCTTGAATAGATGGCTGGAGATGGAGTAGATTTAGCTACAAAGGGCTGTAGAAAGTGGCAGTCGCTTATACCAACTGTCTGAATTCTGCATTCTTTTCAAGACTCAGCTAATCTTTTCTTTTGAACCATCACTAACCACCCCCCTACCTGCAACCTGCAGTATGTTTCTCTTCCTTTATCTTTTATAGCCTTTATTGTTATAACCCATTTGCGACTTATTTTCTCTTTGTGTTCTTATTATATTATACTGCAAACCCCTTAAAAGTTGGGGATGGGTTGGGTCTCACACATCTTTTAATCTTCACTCTGCTTAGTCCATACAAGATTAGGAGACATGTCCTCTGAAATTCTTAAACGCACATTCTGACATATATGTTCAATTGCCCTTCATGTTTCAGGGTCTTTATCTTCTGCTGGTTCAAAAGCCAGCATCAACCTGCAGAATGACCCCATCATTCAAAAGTATGGCTGTAAGAAAGTGGGCTTGACCAGATGCCTTCTGACAAAGGAGGAAATGAAAACATTTCACTTTCCATTACAAGGTTGGTTTAGATGTAATCTGATGTTGCTAACAATGTAAGACTACCTAGCAGTTTATTTAAAAATACTACTGTTGAAAATTAATTTTTCTGGCTGATTTCCAAGTGGCTTATTCTCACTTATTCCATCTGCTATTAATGAGGAAACACTTTGAGTGCAGTTTCCCACAGTGTATGATGTGTGCCACGACTGGTGAAGGGGTGATTTACGTAGTACGTGAACATGACATATCATGGAACTATTTAGTGAGGAGGTTATTCCCTTTCATTCCTTTTCATTCTGTTTTCTTTTATTACTTCTTAGTATATTTTAAAAAGTCAGCATATCTTTAACATTTTAATGCTTCTCCAATACCTGTAGTCCTCCCACACTGCCTCCCTTTTTAACAAAAAGCAGGTGTGGGCTCACAGCCCTAGTCAGTTATATAGCAAGAATTTGATAAAAATTGTTTTATTTATTATGTCCTAGTTCTAGCATTGATTTTAAATTTCCTTTTTTAAAACAGTTTTATTAAGATATAATTAACCTCCCACACAATTCACCCATTTAAAGTGTACAATTCAATAGTTTTTAGTATGTTCACTGAGTTGTACAACCATCACAACAATCAATTTTAGAACACTTTCATCACCCCAAAAGAACCCTGTACTATTATTTCCCTCAAACTCCCCTAGCCTCAGGCAACCATTAATCTACTTTCTGTCTATAGATTTACCTATTCTGGATATTTTATATAAATGCAATTTTACAGTATGTGGTCTCTTGTGACTGGCTTCTTTGATTTGGAATAATGTTTTCTAGGTTCATCCATGTTGTAGCATATATCAGTTCTTCATTTATTTTCATTGCTTAATAATATTTGATATATGGACATACAATATTTTATTCATCTATCAGGTGACAGACATTTGGGTTGTTTCTGAAAGAAAGTGATCTGAGATGCCGGGTACTGTTCAAGCTTTATTAAAGAAAGAAAATCTGCCGGACTGTGCTCAAAGTAGCTGGCAGCCCAGGGCTGCTCTGGAAAGGGGACAGCCCCAGGTGTGGGGGTGGTAGAGCTTATATTGGTATGTTGGCAGCGCCAAGAGCTGGGGGATACCATCAAGAGGGGTCATTATGCTAATGTGGATCGGGGTGGAGAACTGCGTCCTTGTGGAAGCAAAAGGGGTTTCTGTTTAAGTCAGGAGGCTTCTCATAAAGGGAAGGGGAGAGGGGAGGGGAGGAGGTGGGCAGCACCATTTTGTGCTTGGGCGTGTCTAAAGTGGCGCTGGTTAGTTGCAGATCTATTAGTTTCCACTTTTTGGCTATTATGAATAATGCTGCTATGAACATTAAGTACAAGTTTTTTATGTGGACATATGCCTTCATTTTTCTTGGGTGTATACCTCATAATAGAATTGCTGGGTCATATGGTAACTACATGTTTAAACTTTTGAGGAAATGCCAGATTGTTTGCCAAAGCAGCTGAAGTATTTTATATTCCTACCAGCAATTATAAGAGTTCTAATGTGTGCACATTCTTGCCAACATTTGTTGTTATCTATCTTTGATTATACCCATCTTAGTGGGTATGAAGTGGTATCTCATTGTGATTTTGATTTGTTGAGCATCTTTTCATGCACTTCCTGGCCATTTTATATCTTTGGAGAAATGCCTATATTTGTGTCCTTTGTCTATTTTTTAACTGGGCTGCCTTTTTATTGAGTCATTGGAGTTCTTTATATATTCTGGATCCATAAATTTCCTTTTAAAATAAACGAGAGAAAAAGCCATCAGTAAAATGGAGTTAAAATTTAGTTTATATATCATAGGATTGCCATAAGGGTCAAATTAGCATACAAAAAGTGTTTATTTAGCATGGTGCCTGGTACATAAGTACTTAAAAATGTTAGTTATTCTTTGTTATTATTGCCATTAATAGTACACATAAGGTGTGCAGCAAGTATAGTGTCTCCAGATTTGGGGATGCCTTTCTTTTTTGGATTAGGCCATATTTTGATTCTCTTAATTTCAGTCAGTTAGAAACTTCAGGGTACTGGAAGTTAGAAACTGCTCAAATATTTTTATACCTGCCTTTGTTTTTTGCGAAATTAGATCTAAGCATTACCTTTACTGCTTCAGCCTCTGCCTAAAAGTAGAAATCTTCTATGATTCACATGCTTTTATATGTCTGAGCTGAATATGCCTGGTTATTGAGTTAGGGTACACAACAGAGGGAATACCCTAAGCTTGTAGTTGAACCTCCATAGGGAATTTTCAAGCGATGATTCTGGGAAATGCAGGCAAGTGTCTGAACAAAGATTTCAGGGAAGTCTCAAGGGTAGAATTGGATGGAGGGGCACCACATGGCAAATGTCACTTAAACTTTCTGCATACTGTGAAATCCTTTTAGATCTCTGCTGTGGTGGAATCTCATTCCTATTTTCTCTTGCTTTATTTAGGAAATAAAGACACCACAAGGGGCATTTGTATACTTATTCATTCTCTCTTAGTGTCTATATGGAAAGTCCAGTGACTTTGAGTTTAGCCACAAGTTAGTTATAATCTCTTTTCTCATAAGGAGGAAAAAGTGTTACTTGGTAATTGCCAGGAAGTTCAGGCCCCAGGATTCCTTAAAACAACAGCCTGCATTATTCTCTCAGAATATAAAAATGAATGGATGGAGAAAAACTTGAGGACAAATATGGCCTCTTATTTAGTCTTTGTATTTCAAGTGTCTAACATAGAGAGGGTGCCCAGCAAATACAGTATTTCAGTGTTCCCTGGATGAATCTAAGAGTGATGTTTAACATCTCTAGCTCTAAAGGCAAATATTTTATTCCTTTTCCTCCTAGGTTTCCCTGACTGTGAAAACTTTATACTTACCAAGTGTCATGGTCCTATAACAGACAACAGTCCTCTCTTTGGACTTCACTGTGAAATGGTAAGGACCACTTTGGTTTTTCAACTGGAGCATTGCAAACTGGGGTCTAACATAAGATGTTTTCTTGAGCCTGATGCTTCAGTGTACCAATGAACCAATGCCTTCACTTCTAGTATTCAGTTTAAATAGCTAAAAGCAGGCCTTTTTTCTAACATTTTAGAAAACTTGGATCTGTGTTCCAGGATGAAGAATAAATATCACATAGGTTTTATAACTAGTTGCTATGTGTTGCTTTGCCTCCCACGGGTTTGTCATCCCTTTTCTCTTGGGTGACAGAGCTGCCAAAGATTACTCAAAGCCCATCTCTTCTGAGCAGTGAGAAAACCCAAAAAGGTGTTAATCTCCTGGAACCTTCAAGATAGAGGCATTCCTTCCATTTGGGTAATTAACCACAAATTGGGGTTCTCTTCCTGCATTTATTCTCCAGACCAGGAAGAGAACATAGGTGGGGTTTTTGCTAAGTACAATTTAACAAGTTTAACAATAGAAGCTGGTAATATTCAGTAAGACAAGCAAGGTGACATTCTATAATGCAATTTTTAAGAAGTTAAGTGGATCCACTAACAAAAGCTTGATTTTAGCAAACATTCTCTTCTTACAGCAATTTCCCAGTATCTTTACATATCAATCAGTAACTTGTCTGTCTTTGAGCCAGCAATCTTCCTGTGTTACAATTCCTTATCTTACAACAGAGACTATAGCCTGGGGAAAATTTTCTGTCCTTTGCAAGGTCAATATTTGAAACTGCAAGGCTTTGGAAAACCAGGCCCTGTGAAGTACATTTGCTTTATGCATACTCCACAGCTATGTTTAATCAAGTCTTTGCACATTACTAGAAGATTACTCCTTCTGTCTTTTGAACAAGTATTTTGTTGTTGGTGTTGCCTTGAAGACTGTGTTAATAACCATTGGTTTGGCTTAGTTTTATACATCAGAGATCAGAAGTAGGATTTCCCTGCTTAAGCATCCCTTACTTTTTTCTCTAATTTTAGTAAGTTTCCTTTCAAAAGTAGTGCATCCCCTCTTAGTAGTCAGGAAACAGTTTTTCAGTTCTTAATAGTGTGGCCAAGAGCTAAAATTTTAGAGCCTGACATAGCAGGGTGTGTACCCTAGCCTTACCTTTTAGTGGCTGTGTCACCTTGGACAAATCCCCTAACCTTTATCAGTCTCAGCTTCCCTCTGTGAAGTGGGGATAATAATAAAGGCTTCTTCATAAAGTTAGTATGAGGTGGTATATATAAAACGCTCAGGGCTGGCCCGTGGCTTACCTGGGAGAGAGTGGTGCTGACAACACCAAGTCAAGGGTTAAGATCCCCTTACCGGTCATCTTTTAAAAAAACGAAAATAAAAATAAAATGATATAGCACTAGATGATAATAAGAGTGGACTTAATAAAAATTACCTGTTAGTGGTACTTAGTGTAATACTGGATACAGTGCACACTTCATAAGTGGTAGATATAATTATGACATATTTCCATTCATCTTCCTTGAGCACATCCTTCCCCGAGAAATTGCACTATGTTGATTTTCTTAAGTGTAACATTCAACAGCCTGCCTAGCTTTAATTTCATTCATACTGGATCATCTAGCAAGCAAATGTCTGTACCACTGCTGCAGGGACCCCAGTAGGGAAGGGTAGGTGGCAGTTGACATAGTGTGAATAATGAGAAAAAGCAATAGCTTCCACAGTTCAGCAGCCTGACTACATCTCGGTCTTTCAGTGCCTCACATCCAAGGGTAGAGAACTAATGCATATCACACTGGTTGCTGAAGGAGGCTGCTGTGTTATGGATGAACTGGTCAAACCTGAAAACAAGATTCTGGACTACCTCACCAGGTATTTTTTTACTTCACCTCCAGCTAGCTCTTCCTAGAGCTATCAGACTAGAATTGAATAGACTTAACATGAATGGCCCACAGTTTTTGTCCACTTGGGTTTTATCTACTTATATATGAGTATTATCAAAAAAAAGGCTGGGACAACATGTTGGTATATTTTAATACTGAAATTGTAGTATGTCAATATGTAATGCTCTTGCCCTTCTTGTTCTCTAATCTTATGACATTAAGTCAGCAGAATATTGTCTTCCTTATCCTAAAATCTCCCAGTGATAATCATTATCTAGCAACTGCTAAACAGCTGGAGCTTTGCTTTCTGATAAGACCTCATCTTGAAATTCTGAAAATCATCATTTGGTAGTCAAATGATCTTAGAGCTTAATCTTCCTTGACCCCAGAACCAAAAAAAAACAAACCAAAAAAACCTTTTCCATAGCAAATTTGAAGCTCAAAATGTGGGTCTATTTTTCCAAAGATTAGCATGTAATTTCAGAATGTACACACAGTGACTAGGCAAAGAAAAAGCCAATGAAACATTACTGTTTTCATTCATTGAAGTTGCATGTATAGATTCATGCTTATGTAAACACAGAGAGACTATATAGTGATATGGACTGTCCTATTAGCAGACTTGATAATTAGACAGTATTCTTAGGAAATAGTCATGTGTGGCAAAGAGGTATATACAGTGTTACAGTATTGCAAAAATACGGGTATATAAATGTCTGAAAGTAGGGTATTAGTTAAAATATTTTAAATTCATATAATGGAATACTTTGACCATTTAAAAGGATGTGCTAAAATAGATTTATTGATGTAAAAACTTGTTCATGATATATTACAAATGAGACTCATGTCATAAAGCAGCACATGCATTATGATTGTATTTTTACAAAAATGAAATATATACATGAATATATGTGTATCAAAAGTATGGAAGTGATAATCTCTGGGTGGTAGGATTATGGCTAATTTTTATTTGCCTCTTAGTTTATACGTATTTTCAACCTTTTTGACACTGAGCATATATTAAGTGTAATTTTTTAAGATATTCTTTTTTAAATGACTTTCCAGGGAGGAAAACTTGTTAATATCCTAGATTGTTCATTTCTTTTTTTCTTTTGAAAGCTTTTCGGGAATCACTAAGAAGATTCTTAACCCAGTGACGACCAAACTCAGAGATGTACAGAGGCAGTTAAAAGGACTGCTTCCTCCCGATGCTGTGTTAGTGGGTCACTCCTTAGACTTGGATCTCAGAGCATTGAAAGTGAGTATCTGATTTAGGACCTAGTTTGTCTAGTATAAATATCTCAAATCTAAAGTCTTGGGCTCTTCTATCCTCCAGCCCACTTGTTTTTTCCTTCAGCTTGAGATGCTACTCATTCTATTGTCTTTCTTCCTCAGATGATACATCCATATGTTATTGATACATCATTGCTTTATGTCAGAAAGCAGGGCAGAAGATTTAAGCTAAAGTTCTTAGCCAAAGCTATTTTGGGGTAGGTTTGTGTACGTATTATAATATTGTCCTGACAAATTGCACTTTTAAGTTAGCATATAGTATCTAATTCATATTGCAAAATTCAGGGTCTCTGCTCTCCCTTTTCGTTTGTAAACATTATTTCTTTCATTTCTTACAAAATGAGGAAATGTATCAATAGAGACAGGGATTTACATTTACAGCTGAGGTTCGATAGATAAAACAGGACAGGGAAGGGCAGAAAAGTTAAATAAAATTTCAAAAAAAAACATACCTATATTGAACACATAGGTACAGAGACGTTCATTATAACATGGTTTAAAATACAGGAAAAACTGGAAATATTCTAGAGGACTGGTTAAATAAGTTTATGGTTATCTGTATTATCGAATATTTTGTTCAAAAGAATGGGATGGATCTGTGTGTGGGCTGGAAACCTCTTTAAGACATGACTGAGGATAAAATGGAGAGGCAGAGTAAGATCCATATATGCCTAGATACTGATATGATGTAGATTAGGTCTAGATATATCTATAGACATAAATATATGAATATATTTTTTAAATTTTTTAAGAAAAACCAGGAAAGGATTTAAGCACATATAGACACTTGTATACAAAAAGAAAGTTTCCGTAAGGTAACTTTACACAGTAATTACATTTAAGAAATGAAACAAGGGCCTGGCTGGGAAGTGGACCAGAGACTTTTTATTTGGGTAGACTTTTGTCCAGATGATATGCTTGCTATGGACAAGGCCATTTGTGGTCATTCTGCATCCCCAGCATGTCTCTCAGGGCCTGCCAATTAGTGGGAATAAAGGAATTTTGGTTGTTGTGCTGCAAATCTAATTGTCAGAATACTAAAATTAAACATGTAACCAGAACATTTGAGGTTGTTGAAAGAACCTATCATTTAAAATTGCTCCCAGGAATGTCAATTTTATCTTGACTTTCCAGGAAGAATATACAACAGTGTCCAGACAGGCTTGGTCATGATGCCACAGAAGATGCTAGAACAACCCTTGAATTGGCTCAGTATTTCCTTAAGTATGGCCCAAAGAAGGTTAGTATCTTTGACTGTTGGATTTGTCTCTTAAAATTATGGGACTAGATCAGACAGTCACAGCCCACCATCTCCTGTTGTTATCTTTCTTTACAAAAATGGGAGTATGATTGAAGAAGCTGAGCATGAATTTGGAATTAAGACCCATATGACTAGTATAATGTAGTTAAGTATATAGTTTCTGAAGCTGGGTTTATCTGTTTTTAACTATAGGCTCTACTGTGTCTAGGTATATAATCTAGGGCAGTTTCTCTGAACAACTTCAGTTTCTATATCTGTAAAATGGGAAGGCACACTTCTCTGGAATATTGGTGAGGATAAATGATATTCTGTATGTAAAATTCTTAGCACAGTGCCTTGAATATATTAAGCACCACACTGGTGGTGGTGATCATTTGTAGCTGATGCTAATAATTATAATAATTATAAGAAATCTACATAGATTTTTGCTCTCTTAGTTTAGGGGGAGAATATCATTGTTTCAACAAATAGTTCAGTGGGTATAGATTAGAATAGCACATAAAGGAGACATCGTAGATGACATGGTTTCTGATGGACTTTGATAATGCTTTCTACCCTATTAGATTGTCCCATTGCATAATATTTTCCATCATGACTCCATTATGAAGTAAATTGTAGTCCATGTAGAATAACAGTAAACAGCCAAAATAGTGTTTTGTGTCATGGTGGTAAAAAGAAATTGTAAAAGATCTTATTTGGGCATGTTAATAATAATAGCCACTATTCACTGAGCTCTTACTGGGTATACTATTCTAAAATGCTTTATATACATATCTTATTTAATTCACATAGCAACCCCATAAGATAGCTATTATTATCCCAGTTTTATACATGAGTGTTCTGAGATTATGAAAGGTTAGATAACTTGTTGGGAGTCCCACAGCTAATCTGAGGTGGAACCAGAATTCAAACCCAGGTCTGTCAGATTACAAAGCCTGTCCATGCTCTATACCAGGGGTTAGCAAACTTTTTCTGTAAAAACCTGATAATATTTTAGGCTTTGTAGGCCATGTTGTCTCTATGGCAACTACTCAACTTGCTGTCATGGTACAAAAGTAGCCATAGACAGTATGTTAATAAATGGACCCAGCTGAGTTCCAATAAAACTTATTTACAAAAAATATGCATTGAGCTGGATTTGACTCAAGGGCTGGTGCACTGCATCAGAGGTTCTAAAAACTTTTTGGTCTCAGAACCCCTTTGCGAAGAGCTTTTGTTTATGTGGCTCATATCCATCAACATTTACCATATTAGAAATTAAATATGAGAAAATTTTTTAATAATTTGTTTAAAATATCAAATAAAATATCAAGCAAAAATTCGTATGTTAACACAAGTAACTTATTTTTATGGAAAAAAGCATTTTCAAAAAAATTAGTGGGAAGTATATCATTGTTTTACATATTTTGCAAATCTCTTTAATGTCTAGCTTAATAGAAGACACATGCCTTTTCATATCTGCTTTTACATTCAGTCTGTTGTGTTATATATAGTTGGAGATGGAAGGACCTCATGAATCCCTTCTGAAAGGGTCTTTGGAACCTAGTCCCTTCCCCAGGGGTTCTTAGATCACACTTGGAGAACCTGTTATGCTTGATTTCCAATGAAAATTGTATCTCACTTGGGTAAAAACTAAGGAAATCTGAATTAAGCATGAACTTTAGTTAATAGTAATATATCAATATTGGTGCATTAATTGTAACAAATGCACCAGACTAATCTATTACTAATAGGTGAAAATGGGTGTAGCGTATATGGGAACTCTCTGTACCATCTTCATAATTTTTCTGTAAATCTAAAACAATTCTAAATAAAAAGTTTATTTAGGGTCGGCCCGGTGGCGCACTGGAGAGTGCGCCGCTTGGGAGTGTGGCGGCGCTCCCGCCGAGGGTTCAGATCCCATGTGGAGACCGGTTCCCGCTCACTGGCTGAGCGAGGTGCGGGCGCAACACTGAGGGTTGCGATCCTGTTGCCGGTCCCCGGTACGGGCACGACACTGAGGGTTGCGATCCCGTTACCGGTCAGTAAAAAAAGACAAAAAGGAAAAAGTTTATTTAAATAAAGAAATTTGTATCTCATTCTCTGCATCACAACTTCCAAGTGGACTCCCACTTCATGGAAGAAGAAACATCAACTAGAACAGATTTTTCATGGTTTTGTATTAAATGAAAGTCTTTTTTTGATGTTGCTGTAAAAGCCATTTTATCATTTCTAAAAGTTGCATGGTTGCAGAGAAGTAAATTTTAAGTGACTGACTGTAATGAGTGATGAGACAAAATTGCCATCCCTTTTCATTTAACCCTACATGGCCCTTTCCCATATTCACGTAACATCAGTAGCTGGTAACAGATTGCCATTCTTGGCTAAGCAGCCAGAAACCATCTGGTAACTATTGAAAGCAGCCCAGGACTGGAATGGCAAAGCCACTGTCTAAAGAAGCAGAGAACAGCACTTGAATGGATTTTTGGGTTTTTGTTGTTGTTTTTTGTTTTTTATTTCTTTTAACCTCAAATATTTTGCAAGAAATTAGATGATTTTTACTACTTTACTTTCTTCAAGATTGCAGAACTAAATCTGGAGGCACTAGCTAGTCACCAAGAACTTCAAGCAGCAGACCAAGAGCTAAGAAATACAGCAGAAGTAGTTCAGCCCCCAAACACAAGGTGATGTTTTTCAGTTCTAAACAAGAACAAAGGCAAATGGAGAATCTGGTTTCTTATTTAACAACAAAACCTGGGAATTTTTTTTCTTCTTTGAGTCTATTGAGAAATATTTACCAAAATAAGAGTAACATTCATCACAAAAACCATGGAGGAAAAATACTACCTTCTGCCCTAAATAGTATCTAATTTTTAATTTTTTGAATATAGTGGCTGGTCTAAAATGGCATACTTTGCAAAAAAAATAAGACATTGCAATAAATTGAACCAAGTAGCATTGGGCGAGATGATAGACTTGATGTATTCCCCAGAATGGGAAAAAATACAAAAAACAAAAAACAGGCTCAAAAGGGTTTGGCTTCAGACCATAGTGAATGAATCAGATACTTAGAAGCTGACCTAAACTTTGAGGGAGAGTTTTGGATAGATTTCTTGTTTTCTTTCCCATCCCCATTAGAGCAACACTGTCCAGTATGATTTTCTGTGATGATGGAGATGTTCTATATCTGTGCTATCTAGCATGGTAGCCACTAGTCAAGTGTGACTAGTGCAGTTGAGGAACTAAGTTTTAAATTTAATTTTAATTAATTTAAATAGCTATATGTTGCTAGTGGCTACCATATTGGACAGTGCAGGTATAGAGAAATAACTGTCAGGTTGTGGAAAACTGTTGTCCTTACCTTGTCTCTTCCACTTTCTTACAGTATTTTAGAATGCCTGGACTCAATGGGTCAGAAGCTCCTTTTCTTGACCCGGGAGACAGACAGTAGTCAACTTTCTTCTTCCAGAAACTGTCAAACTATTAAGTGCCTTTCAAATAAAGAGGTGAGTGACCTGCCATACCTTTGCAGGTTGCATTCAGAGCAAAGGGAACGTAGCCATTTGCATACCGTGCAAGTGTCCAGCTTTTTTTCATCAGCAACCCTGGTTACAATTTGCAAGTCTAGCTTCTGTCTCAAGTCTTGCATGGAGCACTTTAAGTCATAGTTACCCCATGCAAGCGGAACTGTCCGTTGCCAGTGTCTGCTTCCAGAACCCAGCAGGCCTGTGGCTTTGGCCTTGCATACGCCTTTGAATTTCTGTTCCGTTTCTGGTTCATGAAAGTGTTTATTTTGGTTTTGAACCTGGCTATTCTTTTTGTTTTTTTCTTTTTATATTTTATCTGTCATTGATGTATGTGTAAAGCAGAGAGGGTGCATCAAAACATGAGCTTATTGTGTCTTCATATCCAGAAGGTCTGTATTTTTGAAAAACATTTCATCTGAAAATAATTTTAAACTTGGAGAAAATGTGCATGAATGGTAGGACACCTGTATACCTTATATCAAGGTTCACCTTTTGTCAAAACTCTGCCCCATTTGCTTTATTATTTTATGTGAGCTCAAATGCTCATGTACTCTCATACTCTCTCTTCCTCTCTCTGTATGACATTTTCTGAACCATTTGAGAGTAATCTGCACACATCTCTAAATACTTCAGCATGTATATCATTATAGTAAAAATATTCTCTTACATAACCACAGTACAGTTGTCAACTTCAGTAAACTTAATATTGACGCAGTACCTTTATCTACTTTTCATCTGTATTCTGATTTTCTTAGTTGACCAAATAATGTCCTCTATAGCATTTCTTTCCTCTTCAGAACTGTGTCCATAGTAAGGTGTCATGTCTTGCATTTAGTTGTCATATCTTTTTAGTCCCCTTTAATCCAAAACTGTTCCCTTCTTTGTCTTTAGTGACATTGGTATTTTTTCATGGAGTGGTGGGAGGTTTTGATTACTGACTCAGTCTCATTAGTTATTGGTGTGTTCATATACTCTCTTCACAATTTATAATTGTGTATTTCTAGGAATTTAGCCATTTCTTATGGGTTATCCGATTTCTATAGTATTAATTATAGTGTCCTTTTTTTCCTTACTGATTTTAGTTATTTGAATTTTCTCTCTTTTTTTTTTTTCAGTTAACCTAGATAAGGGTTTGTCAATTTTGTTGGTCTTTTCAAAAAACCAACTCTTAGTTTTGTTGTGTTTTTTTGTTGTTTTTCTATTCACTATTTTGTTTATAACTGCTCTATTCTTTTTGATTTCCTTCCTTCTTCTTGCTTTGGGTTTAGTTTGCTATTCTTTTCTAGTTCCTTGAGGTGTAAAGTTAGGTTTAGGTTGTTAATTCAAAATCTTCCTTTTTTTTTTTCCTTCTTTTTCAATGTACACATTTGTAGTTTTAAACTTCCCTCTGAGCACTGCTTTTGCTGCATCCCATACCTTTTGGTATCTTGTGTTTTTGTTTTCATTTGTCTCAAGGTATTTTCTCATTTGTTTTGTGACTTCTTTGACCCATTGGTTAAGAGTATGTTATTTAATTTCTACACATTTGTGGATTTTTCAGTTTTCCTTCTTCTGTAGATTTCTAGTTTCATTCCACTGTGATCAGAAAGACTCTGTATAATTTTAGTCTTTTAAAATTTGTTAAGAATTGTTTTGTGGCCTATCCCAGAGAATGTTCCATGTATACTTGAGAAGAATGTATATTCCACTGTTGTTGGTTGATATATTCTCTGTATGTTTGGACACATTGCTCCATAGTGTTGCTTAAGTTCTCTGTTTTCTGTTATTTTCTGTCTGGTTGTTCTATTATTGAAAGTGGAGTGTTGAAGTCAACTATTATTATTATGTTGCTGTCTATTTCTCCCTACAATTTTATCAATGTTTGCCTCATATATTTAGGAGCGCAAATTTTTGGTGCATAAATATTTATGTTTGTGTATTAGTTCATTTTCTGTTGTGTATAACAGGATACCAGAAAATGGATAATATATAAAGAAACAGAATTTATTTTTTAAAGTTTTGGAGGCTGGGGAGTCCAAGGTCCAATGCATACATCTGGTGAAGGCCTTCTTCTTGGTGGAGACTCTACAGAGTTCTGTGGTGAAGCAGGGTATCATGTAGCAAGGGCTGAGCAAGAGCACATTTCCACATGCTTTCTTCCTCTCCATGGGATGCCACCTCTTTTCTATATATCTAATTCTTCCCCAGAAGCACTGCTTCTCTGAGGCTGCCAAGAAGGCTTTTCCTAGTAGTCAGGTGCTATGAAATATTAAAGTCGTGGCCAGTGCTTATTTGGCATTTAGTTAGACATTTTCCTTCTGGGGGTGAATTTGTGCTTCATTTAACTTCTTCCATGCCCCCTGATTTTTTTTCACTGAATCTCCTAAGCCTATTCTCCCTTGCTTTCTTTACTCACAGGCTGGCAACAGTGTATGACAGTGGGGACTCTGTTGGAATTTAACTTATTTCTTTACTTAAAAGAAATTTTAAAAAATTTAAAGGAAATTTAGGTAATTTGAAGATTGTATAGTAGCCACTCTCTCTTAGTAATACTTAAGTTATGGATCATATGTGGTTTTATTTATTAGTATCCTCATTGATTTTGTGGTTTTTCTGGGAAACTATGTGGTCTCATCACTTTCCAACAGACCTAGAAGTCAGCCCCGTATTACTTTTTAATATGGGTAAAAGGACAACAATTGTTTAATTGTGGCTCACCTCCAGGATACACAATAGAGTAGAATAGAGTAGCCTCTGGGCCTCCTGATTGTTTCCTACCTTATTCTGCTGTGCTGTGTTTATTCTGCAGATTCTTGAGCAGGCCAGAGTGGAAACCCCCCTATTTCCCTTCAGCATTGTCCAGTTCTCTTTTGATCCCTTTTCACCCGTCCTCACTGAGGAGATGAATAAAAGGGTAAGTGGATGGGTTCTACAAATGATTTATTTAACTACTTATTATAACCTCTTACATTAAGGAAAGTAATAAATGCTTTATTAAATTTGCTGTGTATTTCTCCAGATTTTTTCAATATGTATATATTAACATTAAAAAAAATATTTTTCTAAAAATGGGAATCAGATTATGCATAGTTTTCCACCTTTTTAAAAAATTTAACAGTATATCTTGAACGTGTTTCCATGTCACTACAGATCTTATTTCCCTTGTTTTTAAATGGCTGCATAGTATTCCATGGTATACCTATTATTGACAGCATTTGTGCTTTATAAATTTTTGCTATTACAAATAATGTTGCAGCAAACATCCTTGTATACCAGTCCTTGTACATTTGACAGATATTTGTGTAAAAATTTTGATGTGGAATTTTATTGTTTTGACTCATGATTTTAATTTTCTTTCCACATCCACCTCCTCACTATATTCTGTTGTTTTTCCTGTAGATGAGGGTCAAGTGGGCAGAAATATCAACTGTCTATGCTGGGCCATTTAGCAAAAATTGTAACCTTGGGGCTCTGAAGAGGCTGTTTAGGAGCTTTGGCCCAGTTCGGTCAATAACTCTTGTTCTTGAAACCCATCAGGTAAGGAGACCAGACAATGCAGATTTTGAACTTCTAGGTTAGTGTTAGAAATTCACACGAGTTCTGAGGCCATGCAAATAAGAAATATTAGTGAAATGATCTTGATTGTCACCAACTGGTGCGTGAGACATACTCTGTTTTGATGGGAGCAGTTGTTGACCCACAAGAATAAATTCCCAGTATTGCCAGATTTTCAGTTTTGTTTTTTGTTGTTGTTGTTTGTTTGTTTGTTCTTAGAATTGAGAAATCTGTCAATTTTTATATTTTGGCTCCAATTTTCTTAAATATCATAAGACCAGAAAATATGTCTGTTGTTTAATGTAGCCTATGGGCCTTCTGATTTGTTTCCTCAGCTATAAATGATAAAAATACTCTTTCAAAAAGAACAGTAATTTCTATGTTTTGGGACATCTCTGTGGGATTTAACTACAAAGCAGGCTGATAGTTTGGTTAAGATACAGGAGGGAGAATTATGGGAGGGCTTTTTTTGTTGTGGTGGTTATGTCTTCAATCACTTAGAGTAAATTTTGGGCATTGGGTTTTTATTTATATAAAAGTTTAATTACTTTTTACTTTTTAAAAAATAATACTTGTGTGTTTTAAAAATTTTTATGTAGTTCAAAAGGACTTAATGAGTAAGTTGCCATCTTCACTGTCATATCAATATCATATCTTCAATAGATAAAGACTAAAGTTGATATATGAAGCAGTAACAACATTGTAAGTACGTTATATAGAGGCATGGAAGAAACCATGAAAGAATTAAAAATAGAAGCAGTATAACAGAACATCTGTAGAATGATATGCAATAACTGCTAACAATAGAGACCTCCAGGAAGAGGAACTAGGGGCTGAGGAAAGGGATTAGGGAAGACTTAAGTGTAAATTTTTTGTACTGTTAGAATTTGGAACTATGCAACTACTAAACCACTGCATTAATAACAAAGTGAAGCAAAAACATAAAGACTTCCAAAGTGATCTAAGTGCAGCAGCCTAGATATTTTTAAAAGGGCTTTCCCCAAATCTTTTACTAATGTCTTTCCTATGACTAAAAATACAAATAAAAAACTGTCCCAAAAGATGGACTGGGGGATGAGAAGTGTGTGGAAAAGGACTATTACCTCTTCCTGTAAATCTTTCTGTTGGCCTTTGTTTTGTAAAATATATATAACAAAATTTACCTTTTAAAAACCATTTTTAAATGGCATGAAGTACATTGATATTGTGTAGCCATCACCACCATCTATCTTCAGAACTTTTTCATCATCCCAAACTAACATTCCCCATTAAACATTACCTCCTACCCCCAAACCCTGGTAATCACTGTTCTACTTTCTGTCACTATGAATTTGACTACTGACGTACTTTTCTTTTTTAGCAGCTGGCCAGTATGGGGATCCGAACCCTTGACCTTAATGTTACAAAACTGTGCTCTAACCATCTGAGCTAACTGGTCAGCCCCTCATATAAATGGAATCATACAATATTTTTTCTTTTGTGTCTAGCTCATTTCACTTAGTGTAATATCTTGAAGGCTCATTCATGTTGTAGCATGTATCAGAATTTCATTCCTTTTCAAAGCTGAATAATATTCTCTTGGATGCATATACTGCATTTTGTTTACCCATTCATCCGTTGATGGATATTGGAGTTGTTTCTACCTTTTGGCTATTGTGAATAATGCTTCTGTAAACATGGGTGTACAAATATTTGTTCAAGTCCCTGCTTTCAGTTCTTCTGGATATATACCCAGAAGTGGAACTAATGGATCAAATAGTAATTCTGTGTTTAATTTTTTGAGAAACAACCATACCATTTCATGCAGCTGTACCATTTTACATTCCCATCAGCAAAGGACAAGCGTTCCAGTTTCTCCACATACTCACTAACTCTTGTTGTTTTCTATTCTTTTGATAATAGCTATCCTAATGGATATAAAGTGGCATCTCATTTTGGTTTTGATTTGCATTTCCCTAATGATTAGTAATATTGAGCATCACAGGCCCTTTGTATATCTTTTGAAGAAATGTCTTTTCAAGTGTTTGCCCATTTTTTAACCAGGTTGTTTATTTTTTTTGTGGTTGAGTTGTAGTTTTCTATATTGTCTGGATATTAATACCTTATTAAATATGCGATTTGCAAATATTTTCTCCCATCGTGTAGGTTGCCATTTAACACTGTTGATAGTGTCGTTTGATGCACAGAAGTTTTTAATATTGATGAAGTCCAATTTGTCGATTTTTGTTGTTGTTGCTTGCCTTTGGTGTCATATTCAAGAAATCATTGCCAAATCCAGTGTCATGAAGCTTTTCTATGGGAGGGCTTTTCTCTCTATGGTGATACCGTGGCTCAGATAATCACAAAGATTTAGCTCCTCTGAGTCATCAAGCAGAAAAGCAGACCATCTGAAGATGTGGCCTATCCAATGAAAGATCTCAATATCTCCAAGCTTATAGGAGAGCTGTCTGTTTCAAATTAAGCTAGTAGGACAAACGGGAATCTCTGCCTATGACTTGGAGTGATGATTTTAGTGATTCATAATAAATATTATGAAAAGCAGATCAAGTAGTAAGGAATTCGTTAGTGCTTTCTCCATACTACCCAGGGCAGAGGTCTTCGAATTTAAATGACAAAGGTTAATTATTATATGACAACTAGTTTCTGAACCTTGGTGATTCCATTTTAAAGTTGATCTGTAATCACCACCTGTCTAGCCCAGCACAGTAAGAGCATCCATTCTGGTGGCTTTGGCCACTGTCGTTTGGGCCCCTTTCTCAGCCCTTTCTCTAACATTCTGAGCTGGAAAACAACAGTGGGGAAACCTTGGTCTTTCTGCAGCCTCATCTCTGTATACAGTATGAAGTCCTGGAAGCTGCGCAGCTGGCCATAGAGTCCATGGAAAGCATTCTGGTAGAAGGTACCTGCATCAAGGTAGGGTGGCCAGAAAAAGCCGAAAGCAGCCCTCTCCACTCAGGCCTGGTCTAGCAGAGCCTGTATTTATAGTGCCCCAATACATATAGAAACACAAGACTTCCTGTTAGGGAAAGTCTTTAGCTAAGTCTGACATTCTCCTAGCAGTGACCTACGATATGACAGCTTTCGTTTTTGTCAAAACCAGCCTGGGCTACATTGGGGTCTTCCTTGTACTCTTTATCACTACTTAGGCTCCAAATGGTTTATTCTGGGTGATTCTTTGTGGTTGCCCTTTCCTTCAACTTTCAGAAGGATCAAGTGGTGGTTTTGAAGTCTCTTGTGCAAGTAAACAGAATCTCATTGTGGGTAGGAGGCAGGGAACAGAAGAGAATACATTTACACACAAAAAATATATATTTATGTATTTGTCAATTAAGTCTTTTTAATAGTTCTATGAGGCAGTTATCATTAGCCTCCTTTTATAGATTAGGAAACTGCAAAATGAAGTTATTTGATAGTATATGACAGGCTTGAAGGTTAAAGTGACTTTCCACCACTAACGCTATCTTTCCTTGGTTAGGTGCGGAGGCCTGTGACAGAGCTCACCCTTGATTGTGACACCCTCGTGAATGAGCTGGAACAAGAGTCTGAGAACCGAGGTACTATTTACCTGTATGGAGTGGGCGAAACCTTCAAAGAACAACTATTGCAGCAGTCCAACCTCTTCCCTGGCCTGGAAGCTGTGATCTTGCCTAAAGATCTTAATAATGGGAAGCAGAAAAAATACTGTTTCCTGAGTAAGTCTATGCCACCGAATGTAGCACTGGGGAAGAACATTGGGGATGGTGGAATATGAGGTCAGAGAAGGGAAAGGTTCACCAAACATGCTCTCGTGGACTAGACAAGGCAGCAGCTCCTGATTCTGTCCTTCTCCCATGGCCCTGATTGGGCTTCAGCTTGGATGGTGATCAGCCTTCTTGGCCCTTAATAACAGAGGGTGTGGGTATTCTTGCTTTCAGAATTCAAAACTTTCGGCATTGCCCAGAGGGCCCTCAACATTCTCACAGGCAAAGAATGGAAGCTAAAAGGCAGGCAGGCCCTAACCCCCAGGCACCTGCATACATGGCTCAGAGGCTTACCACCTGAATCAAGACAACCCACAGAACTTAGTGTCATTCCTCCTCCCTCAGAGCAGGAGTTGTTGCAGGTGAGTGAGTGAGAGAGTGAGTATATCTTGGGTTCAGAGGGAAAAGGCAGCTTCCCTGGTTTGCTGGCTCTGGGCCTTGACTTTCTGTTTCTGGAAATTAGTCAGTAGAGGCCTGCTCTGTGACACTTAATCCAATCCTTTACTCTTTTTTTTCCATGCCCTGGCCCCCTGCCTTATTTCACTCTCCAGCTTCTTCCAGCTCTGGCCACGTCTGTTTTATCTCCCAGATCTCTCATACTTTTGACCCCTCCATACCTGCTAAAATCGGGATTTTAGTCTTCCAGGTGACTGTCCAAGGGACTGAGGGACCAAGACAGGAGGTCGGAGGACTGGACAAGTCTTTAGTGTCCTAGTGTAGGGTTTCCCAAGGTGTGGTACACATACAAGATAAATTTTGGTTGTTGGGCCGGCCCGGTGGCGCACTGCTACAGTGCACCGCTTGGGAGCATGGAGGCGCTCCCGCCGAGGGTTCGGATCCCACATACAGACCGGTTCCCGCTCACTGGCTGAGCGAGGTGCGGGTGCAACACCGAGGGTTGCGATCCCGTTGCCGGTCCCGGTCCGGTACGGGCGCGACACTGAGGGTTGGTGGAAGAGAAGGGAAGGGAAGAGAACAATGGTTTTTTGAGTAGTTTGAAAACCATTGGATTGTGTTATTTCTAAAAAGCCCCTTAAGATTCTGACATTCTAGGAGATGGTAGAGCATGAATACCTTAGGCCTTGAAACCTGGATCAGAAATTTATTTTCTATCATAAAATCCTCATGATGTGCATCTGAGGGCCATTAGGCAGGTGGTCTACCTGCTGGGCAGCTTGCAAGAACTATCTCTGAGAAGCAGAAGCAGGTTTTTAGGTGTTTACGTTTGGGAAGAAACACAACTTAGACTGATATGCTTTAAGTAGGCTTATGGGTAGGCTAACAGCAAGAGGTTAAAAAGTTCCTCAGCCCTCTAATCTAACCGAATTCCATGAGTATTCGTTACAAGGTGGCAGGGAAACGAACGTGTACTGGATGACTCCTAAATTCTAAACACAGTGCCAGGTGATTTACAACATATATTATTAGATAAGTTAATGTTTTGTACAGTTTTCAAACAGTGCCTGGCACATAATACGTGCTACATAAGCATTTAAGTAAAATGAACAAAAGAAATTGACTGACTGACAGGAATTGATAAGGACTTCTTTTTTTTTTTTTTAACTTCTTTTTTTTTGTGACCTGTAAGGGGATTGCAACCCTTGGCTTTGTGATGTCCGCACTGTGCTCAGTCAGTGAGCGCACCAGCCGTCCCTATATAGGATCCGAACCCATAGCGGGTGTTTTTTTAACTTCTTTTTTTTTCTGACCTGTAAGGGGATTGCAACCCTTGGCTTTGTGATGTCCACACTGTGCTCAGTCAGTGAGCGCACCAGCCGTCCCTATATAGGATCCGAACCCATAGCGGGAGTGCCGCTGCGCTCCCAGCGTCGCACTCTCCCGAGTGAGCCACGGGGTCGGCCCAGGAATTGATAAGGACTTTGATGAAACATTACCATTATCAAAATCTCAGTTCTGTCACGTAATAGTTGTGTGACTTGAGCAAGTTATATAATGCCTGTGATGAGCCTGTTTATTTGGAAAATGGAAATTAACGATTTTACCTACATCAGTGAGCTGTTTGAGGATTCAGTGAGACAAGTGCCTAGAACAATGCTTGGCATGTAGTTAAGTGCGCAATGTAGTTAGCTTTTACTGTGTCTGGTCCTCACAAAAACCCTGTGAGATAGTAATTTAAATATTTACAGTTTACAGTTGAAGAAGCTCAGCTCAGCTGAAATGTGCCTTAGTCCTCTAAAGTGGCAGAGCTGGGTCATCTGGGCCTCTGGATGAGTCAGTGTTCTTTGCATTGAACCGTCTTCAGCAGGCAGCTTTACGGAAAACTGCTCCCCTTGCCCTATGGCACACACACACGCACTCGAAAAAACCTGTCTCCTCTAGCTAGGAATGTGTAACCATTCATCCCTATGGATAAAAACCTCTCTTCATTTCTTGTTTATTGCAGCACTAATGGATCGCTCTCTGGTCTAGGACTGATGGGAATAAAAGATGAAGAGGAAAACACCTCCCCAGGCATGTGTTTGTGAGTCCACCCACCACCTTCTGTGTACCATTTCTTATCCCTCGTGCGCAATAGCAGAGAATGTGGTCAGGCTGCAGCCTCTGCATCCAGCAGACAGTTTTTGTGGAAACTTGGTGTACCAGCTAAGGAGTCTAGTCTATTTGTATGGCATGTACACATTTTCAATAAATGACTAAAATTCAAGAACTCACCTTAACAGGGTGAGAGAGGAAACCATTTTCTTTGTGTCAGCGAGCTCATGTACACAGGTGCTGCAGCAGGTGCTCATTCCATGTAGCACTTCTATTAAATGGTATACACCAATAAGGGAACTGGGAGGAGGAGTGACGTCATGGAGAAAATCCATCCAATTACAAAGTTTGCCAAACTTGTAATACCTATGAAGCAAATTTCTATAAGGCAAATTGTTTTCTCATTGACAGCTATAGTAAAATTGAAGGACGAAGATAGGCTGAACTAGAATCTGGCAAAGCTACCAAACAGAGGAGAGTGGAAAACTTAGTAGTTTTCTACCAACTCCTGGAAACCCCTCTTCCAATTCTGTGTTTAGGAATGACCCTTTCCCTTCAGAATGTGGCTGCAATGTCACTCTTCACCAGCAGGTGCCTCCACCACACCAACTCTCCCCCTGGGGCCAGAAACTTCAAACTGAGTACAAGCCAATGCTCTGCTTTTTCCACTCTCAAACTGATAACATTCTGTGTGGGAAAGGACACGGGGCACAGGCACACAATTCCAGAATTGGTAGATATGGCACCCACCCTCCAGAAGAGATGAAGTAATCTCACATGCAGTACACACCATACCAAAAAACCTTGAAAACTGCTTTATACTCTGAGACCCTGCAATTCTACTTCTAAAATATTATCCTAGGGTAATAGGATGATTTCACAAAAACGTGTGAAGGAGATATCACATGGTTATTACACTGGAATTCTAGGAAGTCATTTTTAAAGGTGTGTGTGTGTGTGCGTGTGCGTGTGTGTGCGTGTGCAAGTACAGAAAATAAAATTTCCAGTGAAAGAAATTCATAAGAAGTAGTAGACCTCTGGATCCAGAGGGCCTGACTTTGAATCCCAGCTCTTTTACTTATTAGTTGTGTGGACTTGAATAAACTAAACATCCCTGTGCTTGGAGTAATAATAGCACTTATCTCATAGGATTATTGTGAAGATAAATGAGATTATGCATTCATAGTTCTGTATATTTGTTGTATGAAGCGTGGAGGGCTATAGAGTAATATGTATAGTTTGAATTTATTTTTGTAAGAAAAAATATACAAAGCCATTCATAGGCTTGGAACAAAACCTGGAAGGCTATATGCCAAAATGTTAATAGTATTTATCTCTGGCTAGTGGGATTTTAAACATTCAGCATATATTGCTTTTACGATTAGAAAAGATAATTCTGGGCCGGCCCGGTGGCGCACTGCGCTGGTGCACTGCTTAGGAAGCACGGCGGCGCTCCCGCCGAGGGTTCGGATCTCACATACAGACCAGTTCCCGCTCACTGGCTGAGCGAGGCGCGGGGGCAACACCGAGGGTTGCGATCCCGTTGCCGGTCCCGGTCCGGTACGGGGGCGACACTGAGGGTTGCGATCCGTTGCCGGACACGGAAAAAAGACAAAAAAAAAAAAAAAAAGAAAAGATAATTCTATTTAAAATTAACTCTCAAGTTTGAGCATTTGGGTCAGTGTTTTATCCTTTA